TGTTAACAGGAGAAGGGTTATCCTTAATAGCTTCTTGTTGCCAAACCCTGCGGAAGTTTGTTAAAGAGGGCGAGAAAAAGGAAAGGCCTTTTGTTAAAAATAGAATCCATCAGCGCGCGATGGGAAAAAAAGACTCTGCCACTTCAATCCCGACAAAGCAATTTGCGGCTCATAATCAAGAGAGAGGAAACATTTGTATCGCCCCCCCCCCCCTCTTTTTTACAGTATAAACTGGCCACTTCCGCAACATCCACTTCAGAAATATACGAGAAGTCTCGATGCTGCTAAATGCTGGATGGCGCTATGGATGCTGGTCATCACATCATGTTTTCGTGATCATAAATGTGAAATGGACATAAATTAATATTTGCTTTCATAAAAAAATAACTATTATACTTATATAGTATACACAAACTTCATCTCGTGACCCCTTCACACTCACTCGGACATTTGAGTGGTCCGCTGGAGGCTGGAGGGTAAACAGAGTTCAGTGCGTAATGATTTTTTTACAGTCCATCTTTTTTTTGTTTTTCCTAGAATAGAATAGACACTGGTGTGTGTGTGTATTTATAGACATTTTGATGAACCTTCTGTTGACCTGAGATCGACTGTATAACAAAACGTCGCGGCTTCCTATTTATAAACTGCGCGCGTATCAACGCGCGCTATTGTAATTATTTTGGCAAATTAAAATAATTATTGCATGTCGGCTATTGTTTCGCGCGCGTTGTCATCGAGATGGGAATCAGCAGAGTGTCGTGAAAACATCACGTAGAGCTGGAGATTCACCAGAGGACGCGCTCTGAAAATAAACATCTCTATGAGTCATGTCATAGAAATAGCTCCGATAGAAGAGAGATGATTTCTGCTGGAATGAGAGAGAAAGGGGGAAAAAATTACTCGTGCTGATTTGAAACAATTGCCGGATTTTACTGCGAATCAAATCTTCGCATATTTTCCTGTTTGGAGCAGATGTATACCAAACAGTGGTGACCCCCCCTTACTCTCCTTTTCAATGGGCTCCGGGTGATGCGCGCCGCTGCTCCGTGGAAACTGTTGCTCCTTCCATCTCAAACACGCCAGGAATTCGATTGTGTGCGAGTATTTGGGGAAACCTGCTAACCTGCGTGTGAGTCGACCGGCCGGGTCGCATCGCCGGCGACCCGTCGAGCGTGCAAGCACGTCACGGGCCCAAAACAAGTCCAGGTATACGCAGCTGCACGTGTGTGTGTGTGCGCGCGCACAAAGAAGAAGAAGCAGCAGCGAGGCTCAAATGTGTTCCCGTTGTACAATGAGTTGACCTCATTCGTCTTGCTGATTATAATCTGTCATCTCTGAGAGCACAACAAAGGATACAATCACGGTTATTCAGAGCAAAAAAAAGACGAACGAAAGCGGAAGCGCACATTTCCACCTCGTGCAGAAATAATGGAGAAATTAACAGCAGCATTTATTCACCACTCTTTATTCAACGCTTGTGTTTTATTGCATATTTCTAAGAGCTGCAGTTTTTGTTGCATGTCCTGGAATGCAACTATTAGTAGGTTGATATATAAAAAAATTAGCTTATCATTTTCTTAAGTTTGTATTTAAGGTTTTATTTACAAAAATATCATGATAAACTCAACATGTACGCGCCAGTGAAGGTCAACAATAGGTTCAATTCGTTAAAATAGTAAGTAAATAGTACGCGGTTAATTCATTTTGTAATTGTGTTAAATATTGTAATGCAAAGTAAAAATTTATTTCCTAAATAAAAACAACGTGCACATCTGTCGACTTAAAGAAGACTGTATATATATTCTGAAAGCAGGCCTGGAGCCATGAACCTCGGCTGGCCTTATCTCTGTCAGCTCCCTGAGGCTTCCTGTATGCAGGCCCATTGTTCCCCACCGGCTCAACTGACAACCCTTCTGCGCAGATGCACACCTGCTGCCGCAACCAAGTCCGCGCATTCGGTGTTTTGGCCTTTACAGAGGAGATGCAGGGCTCAACGTGTAAAATAAAAAGAGGCGTATGTTTGTATTTTGATGTGTTACTTGAAGGCATTTGTTGCAGAAGTAGCAAATGGGCTACTCACCGTTTCCTGACAAACTAAAAGCAATTTTAACCAAATTAACTGCAAAATCTACCACCATAAATGACGTATTATAGGCGCACCAATGCTAATAATAAAAAGTATATATTCCTAAAACTATATTAATAAACTAAACGTTACATTTGTCCATTTTGTCCCAAAATAAATTTAAAAACAACATTACACTGATTAACATTAAAATCATAAAACCCTTCTCTGGATCATATAGTTTATAGTTTATTACACTCTCTGAAACACAAGTTCTTGTAAAACACTGGTATTTATTATTTTCTGAAGAGTGTTTAGAACACACTTGCCTTTCAAACGCGCCCTTATCTCCTCACTGTTTACAAAACATGAATGTGAGGAAGCAGAGGATGATGAACACAGCTACATTTCTTCAGCTCCCTCTGCACACCGGACGAGAGTCACAGGGTTCCTCCGATTAGTCCCGAAGCTACCGCGGCGTTTTACATTTCATGTTCTAGTTCCACACAGGCTTGTTTTAGGAAAACGACGTAAAGAACACGTGGTTATTCATCCCGAAAGCTGCTGAAAAAAAGACATTTAACCTCGAATTATCCGGACTTTCCGTTTTTAGCAGTGTAATTATGGTTGCATGAAGATGTTGTAATGGAGTGAACATGTTCTCTCATTGAGTTCCCGTCATGCATCTCTACTAAACTTTTAAAATACAGGCCTATATGTCCCTAAATGTCATCCACAAGTCTGTTATACAAATATATGTGCAGGTCTATTATAGGGACTTCAGCAACAATGCATGTTATTATTATATTGTATAGCCATTGTAATGTTCATATTGATTATTGTATTTTGGAAACAACCTTTTCATTTTTAACTTGAACAAATGTGTGTATTTAACTACTTTAAACACACACATTCAAGAATAAAGATGTCTATATGTAATACAAACACTTTGTTAATTAAAGCAATGTATGAGATTTTTTCCCAATATTTCCTTGTAATAAATCCCTGTATTATTATTATTATTATTATTTTCTGCGCTCATGCATCTGTGTTGCCCCCTTTGTTTGAATTTAAGTCGAGCCGTTTTAAAAGTTAGAAATCTTGAAATCTGCCAGATCACAGTCACCGAGAACCCTTTTAAGTAGTGTTTCATGTTAACAAAATAAAAAGTTCACTAATTCTAATACCATTTGTGCTGATAGCAGCATGCTTTTACTAAAGTTAATGGGATTCCTAAAATAACGTTATTCAAACCTCATTAATATTCCACCATTTGTGCAAATATCGTTTTAACACGTCAGCCTTATGATATCATGTGTGTGGGTGTGTACTGTGTGTTTTTTTGGGGGAGTGGGTGTTTTGCTTTTTGATGATGAGTCTGTGTTTGACAGCTCAGAGGGTGGATCGAGGTGGCGCTCCTGAGACCCCGCTGATCCCACAATCTATATAAAATAGGCTATTGGATGTTAAGAAATCATATTCTGTATAATTGGTCAGCTTTTAAAAAACAATAACTCGGGTTGCGTTGTTGTGAGAGAACCCTTAAATGTAAAAGTGAAAACCAGATGGCCCTAAAGTCTATCGCTGTGATTATATGGAGCTTTTCGGAGGGGCGGTGAATTAAAGGCGTCTCACTCGTCAACATGTCTCTATTATCAAGAGGTTAGATGGAAAATGTAACAGTCTCGCGCTCAAAGACAACAAGTGGAGGAGTTGTCTGTCTGAAGCAAACGTCCATATTTTAGCAAATGACTCGTTGACACGGCAGCACGGGATGAATGAAGTCTTCTTTGTGTGTGTGTGTGTGCGTGTGTGTGTGTGATGTCACGTTTTGCAAAGGATTATTATGAGCGCGTGTAAGACGACTCTGCATCGCCAATTGTTGTTACACTTCTGGTCTTTCCCACATGATTCTGTTTCATTTAGTAAGTTAACTTCTTTAAAGTTATTATTTTTGCCAGCTTCATCGTGATATTGAAGTTATTTTCATTATTGGTAGTATTATTATTAGTAGTATGGTAATAGTGTTGTTGTTGCTGTTGTATTTAGAGTATTATAAAAGTAGGCTACAAAAATGATGATCAATCAATCAATTAGAACAAACAGCACATCAGATTGAGGGTGTAAAACTTAGCATTTCATCAGACCTTGTTTTTTTGTTTCTCCTGTCCTGAAAGTGAGCCGTCAAAAAATATAATAAAACAATAAACCCGAGGACGGCCACAGCCTCCATGCATCGCCATTATTCTACTGACGCGGCTTCATTTGTGAATTATATTAATAACAAATTATATTCAATATTGAAGAGAGACAAAAAAAACATATTCATCGTGATCAGGGTAATATGAAATACTTATTAGTTATGAATGATGCACACAGCATGTTTTTGTTGAGCAGTAAGTGCATGAGCCTGAAGACTTTCACACAGAACATATTAAATAACTATCAAACAGACGTCAGTGGGACACTAATTATCAATAACACATTATTTCTATTATCAATTCTGTATTTCTATTTAAATTATTATTATTGTTGTCATTTTTACTTCGTTATTATAGATGTGAAGTTCTGTTTATATCTATTTTGATGTAGTCACACAGTTGAGATAAAATAAATGGGCATACATTTAAAAAAATGAGCAACTGGTTAAATATATATTCATATTTATAGATCAAATTTCCAAGAGACGTAACGCTTGAAAATCAGACATTTTACGGTTAATGGTCGAATAAGTGCAGAGTCAAACCTCAAAGCCCTGCACAATGGTTTATAGGAGTATTATATCCTTGGCATTTCTGAAAATATCGTATATGTCAACAATAAAGTACTTTTGATGCTGCGTCACCTTCACAGAGTTGTTGAATGCTGTTTGTCTAGTACCAACAGTGGTTATCACAGCCTAAAGCATACAAACAATTACGTCATGACCACTGTATTACTTTAAGAAATACAAGTTTATTAAGAAATTCACAAACCTAGAAAAGACGGAAAAGTGCTAATTAAAATGAAACATGGCCCCAACATGAATGAGACAATATAGCTAATCACGTTTATAAAAAAATTAATAATAATAATAATCAGAAATATTACCAAAACCTGGCACTGGCTGGCGTCATATTGGAAATAATATCATACATGTGGGATCAATAATTATGAAAAACCCTGAATTGTATGGCTGGCAGTCTGGATCTCACACGTTCACTTTTTAACCCAACAGAGTTCACGGAGGAGGTGACGCTTCGCCGTGCAGGCCTTGCTCAGTGCAAGTTAAGAGGGCCAAATTGAGCTCTGATTCAATTACACATTAAAAGCACTGACTTAATTAGGGCATCTTATGTCCACGTTTCATTTGGCAACAGTTGGGATAGGCCGTGCGTAAAGTTGAGAGAAACCATTACGCATACCAGTAACACACAGCCGAAGCGATGTCAGCAATGTCCATGCCCGTGAAAATCAATATTTTCATAAAAGGCACAATTATGACAACAATACCGAGTTACGGCCATCAGTCCAAGTGTAATACCGGCGCACGAAATGGCTCCCGGAGGCTGTGCTGCCCGGTGTGTCCTGGGGACTTCTTTACCTCCCGATTCCATTTTGTAAAACTCTCCCCACATCAACTCGCGCATACCTCTCCATCTGCACATATGGATGTCAGCTGGACCCACACAGCTCGTCAACAATGGTCTCTTCAAAAAAACAAAAAAAAAATACTCTTGGTTCTGTTTTTGAAATCACAGGAATTTACTCTCGCTCTCAAGACTGCTCTTTTTTTTTTACACAGACCATTTCGGTAAACTTTAAATATCAATCCTCGTGTGTAACGCCGAGTGTTTGGTCTCGTGTTCCCAGTAAGAGCAGTGCATCATCGAGAGCTCCGCGGGCTGGCGGGAGCAAGCGAACTGGAGGCCCGCTCCGTTGCCGGAGGAGACCGGAGGCGGTACTGCCGTGGCCGGGCTCAGCTGCTGGGCATGGTGGGGATGCGCGGGATGGTGATGGTGACTCATGCCGTTGTAAGAGTTCACCATGCCGGGGAGCGCCATGGTCTGCACGCGGGAGTAGGGGTTATAAGAGGAGGGGGCCGACAGCCCCTTCACGTTCACCGGACTCACGTTGCCACCGGCCATCTGACAGGACGTGTAGGACATCGGGGTGGGCGGCTGGCCGAGCGACCAGGAGTTGTTCATGAAGCTAGACTGCAGGTACTTGGGTGGGGACAGGTAGCCGTAGCCGTCTCCCCCGAACAACGACTTCCCCGGCTGGAAGTGCGTCGGTGGAGGTCTGAACGGGCGCTTCATCCTGCGGCGTCTCCTGTAGTTCCCCTTCTCGAACATGTCCTCGCAGGCCGGGTCGAGGGTCCAGTAGTTCCCCTTTCTCTCCCCACCGCCCTCCCGCGGTACTTTAATGAAGCACTCGTTGAGACTCAGGTTGTGTCTGATGCTGTTCTGCCAACCCTTCTTGTTCTTCTCGTAGAAGGGGAACTTGGTGATGATGTACTGGTAAATACCGGACAGAGTGAGCCGCTTCTCGGTGCTCTCCCGGATGGCCATGGCGATGAGAGCGACGTAGGAGTACGGCGGCTTCTGGGACGGATCTGCTTTCTCCGGGACTTTCTCCTGCACCGGCTCCTCTTTGGGTCGCTCCTTCTCCTTTGTGGTGTTGGTGTCGTGGATCATCAGTGTCATTGCGTCATCCTCCGGGTTCGGGTAAGTGGCCATCATTGTGTGCACCAAAAAACAAAACAAGTCCAGTTCCAAAATGCGGAGAAAGCAAACCTTAATTAATGGCGCTCGTAACTTCGATGTGCAGCGAAATGTTGCAGCACCTCAGGATGCACCGCGGATTGAAAGCTGTCTTCCAAAGTGCACAGAGAGAGAACTTTATTTTGTGGCTCAGTGGGTGACATGCACCAGACCTCCCTCTCTCTTTCTTCAACGGGGATTTTTCTAAACTGGTTTCTGATGGAGGCGCAACCCAAGTTGTGGCTTGTGAGTCAGTAAGCCCAACCCTTTCCTTTCCTCTTCTTTTTTTCACGTCCACTGACAGACTCCAACGCGACGTCGTGCGTCGTGATTTGTGCGTATTTGAGTTCCGCCTACAGTCAGTGAAATAATAATCTTCTCTTTTTAACACGTTGAATTTTTTTCTTCGAATCACACTCGGGTCAAAATAGCAAACTATGGAGATGGAACTATATTTGCATTCAAACGGGATAAAAAGGAAAGGGATAAACTCCCAGTGCTGGGATTGTATCATTACAATATTTATTTAAATCCAAATGCATAAAAGGCTATCAGACATAAATTATCCCTTGCTTTGCTTTCTCGGCTTGACAGCAAACAAGCCTTTCAGAAAATAAATGATTTACTGGTCAGATTATTTTGTAATATTTTCGTGCACAACGAAAATGAAATACTTATAATAAACAATTAAAACATGTATATCTTTAGAAATGTTTGTATCTTGCATTTTAGGTTTACAATCTTTCACATGTGTTAAATGTGAAATACAGCACCTGACAGGATATATTGTCTCGTCTGGACAAACGGTTGTTTCAACAAGCTTTCGCTCCAGCTTTTCTCAAACATATAGCCAAATATATTTGACTACACGCGGTCAAATGGAGGCTCCCACTTCCTCCTCTCGGCCACCAAAGACAGGCACATTTGCAAATGCATGGTCTAAAAAAACCCCAAAAACTCTGGATAGACAGTGCTGCTTAATGAGCTCGCGTAGAGAGGGGAAGTGCACGGAGAGAGGTATACATTTCTCCGGGGCCACCCATGAGGGTCCCCTCGGCTTTCTCCGCGGAGTGTATTTCCGTGCTCTGGGAGTCCGTGCAGGTGGAGCAGCATTGGCATGTGTGTCATCACCCTGCACCCGGTCCCGCAGCAGCTGAACCGCGGCGAGAGCCAAACCATCTCTCATCGCGCAATTAACGCAGACTCGCAGCTCGGAGCGTTGCGGCGCGATGTTATTTCTTGTTTCAGTGTCTTTGTTTTCCTCCCTCACATGTTTAAGAAGGAGAACGTTTCCCGATAATCTCAACACACTGTTATGCCCACCGCGCTGCAAGCAGTCGGCTTAGTAGAAGCATTACATCATTCAATGTGTTAATTAACGCTGCCATCAAATGACACACGAGAGGGTAAACCATGAATTTGTAGATAAATAAAATGATTACAAATATTTCTATTTTTCATATAGCTGTTGCATGGATGATTGTTTATGAAAGAGGACACCAGTGTGAAAAAAATGGAATGAGTGTTGGTTAGACTATAAAGACCTTTGTTTGTATTCATTGTGGTGTTAGTAAAAAGGCATTGTTACGGTGGTAGTTTGTAAGTTTGTCCAAAAATAAATCAAGCAGTAGACCACAAACTACCCCCTTTGTCTCTGTGTTTTGGTTCACATCATGATTTCGGGGTTTGTTTATCTTCTGTTATTGTTCCAGAGAAAACGTCTGTGGTCTTCTCGTCTGCACTGAAACAACTGAAATAGAATTACCCAACAAACTTTTGAGGGAAGACCTTTCAGAGTGACATGTTTAAATGTATCAAAACCGTCTGTTTATTGATATAATGAATCGTAATAATATGATCGTTATAACAGTTGCATTGAACTACTGAAATATAAAAAATATATCTAAACATGAATTGAAATTGTTCCCTTTATCCAGCGATATAAACGTCCATTTAGCTGGTCATCATTTAATGTTTCTCGATTTATAGAGGACCCTCTTAACCCCTTCAAAGACTCCTGGTGGTCCCCGTACATCACCCTAAAAAACACTGTAATAGGCCCTCTTCACAGCAGCCATTTTAACACAAAAATGTCCCCATTGACAGTACATATAGCTCAATGTGTTAGCTTATTCCAAAGTCTATAGGTTACCATGTTGTGTAGCGGCTAGAACATATTCCCGTTAAGTTGTTGGCCAAATTGTCCTCACAAACATCACAAATTAATAAAAAAAAACCAGAGGCCTAATTCACCCGAACGACCACCGAGCACCACCGTTATATGCGTCAGGTTAAATAGGTTTCTTGCCCTCCCTCCTCCTTCATTACCTGTAACCTCCCCGGGTCTGAGCTGCCGCAGTGCACGCGCGTCACGTCACAACAACAGCTAAAAAACTAGCATGTCGACAATCCGTAAACAAAACAAGGAGCCTGAAACTTGAACTGGTTGTGGGCTTCAGAGGCGCTGAGGAATGTTAATTTGATAGTATAGCCTCTTTTGGGGCTTTAGGCAATAAACAAATAGCCTACACAAACAAATACATTAATAAATTAAACACAAAATAACTAACAATAAAAAAGCAACTCATGGCTAATGAATAGCTAAAATATGCTTACTTGCTAAGTGTAATATGGGCTCATAAATGGAAATGTGCTTTGCACCCAAAGTATATTTTTGACACGTTTCCTCAAAATTCAGGCAATTTATTAATCCTTTTCACCATAATCAAATCGGTCATATACGCATATATAATTATAAATTTGACTCTATATTTAATTCTAACAGATTTGCATGCTATAGTGTAGTCTTATCTTTCTAAATGTATTTAGATGAGACATGAGACGACTGACACAGCGGTGAGCACTGCTCAGTCTCTGTTTTATTCTTAGATAAATATGCATCCTCTGAATCCTTCAACACAAAAAAGATCAAACAGGCCGCCCCTCTCATGAGATACACACTTATATGAAAAATGCATTTGCGTTGATGTAATGTACATTATGTGCATGCAGCCTATCACAGGCCTAAAGTGAAGAGCCATCACTGCGACGGGACGTAATGTAATTTGAAAGAGTGGAATTCCTGTCCTCCCTCACTTCCTGCCCTGGCAGGTTCAGGACTAGGATGTTTATGATAGCGCGTGCGGGTGGAATGCGGCGGACGGATCCACCGGGTCAGGTCGGGACCGGAGAACCACCACCCGGGCTGGAGAGGCTTCAGCCCGGCAACCGCGTATAGGACCAGACAGAAAACTGGTGAGAGAGCTACAATTTATCTTAAAAATGTATAATAATAACAATAACAATAATTACTATTACCATCATAAGTTATTCATTATTAATTGCAAAAACAAATGCAATACACTCTCATAAAATAATATAGTGTAAGCTAATTATAACAAACAATTGTGATGAAAAATATTATTATTCTCATTATTTGCGGAAGTAGTGGTGTTGGTGGTATTAGTTGCAGTATTTAAACTTTTAAAATGAACTTGCTATAATTATTATTATCGAGTTTGCAAAAACTAAGTTGTCATGATGAACAGTAGTAAATAGTAAATAGTCTACACTGCCTTTTTTGTTTAATCAATGGAAGCCCTGCTGTTTAAAGATAATATCACAAGGATGCACACATTTCATTGACCTATATTCTGTGTCACACATCCTCTGATAAAGCTATGGCTGAATTATACGTTTTAGAAAATGAAGAGCTTATCTAATTCCAGGAGGTTGTATAAGATTGATTAGATGATTATCAACTGCACCAAAACTCTCCAGGGAGAAGTTAATGATGAAAATCAAGTGGAGCCACTTCAGAGTGAGATTAATTTAGCAGCTAAATGGAACATTGATCCATATTAAGTGTCAAGCAGCCTGTTGAAGAGTTCTGTCATCTTTGATGCTTTTTTATTCTAGTTTTTCAACACTGGTTGCATTTTACCTGAGGTATTATGCAGGAGTTAATGAGCGTTGATAAGTGTAAGTGTATAAGTGTGTAAGTGTTAGAACGCATGCTTTCATGTTTGAGTCTTGCATTGGCGCATCTGCCAAGGACAAGATTCCCTCACCGGTTGTCCCAGTTTGATCTCTCCGGGATGGTCTCTGGTTCATTTGCATCTGGCTCGCCTCCATGATTAAACATCAACAAGACACACTGCCTCTCTTCAATGGAATCCGTATGAGGTGCAGGAAAGAGATGGGTGACATGGGGGGTGGTGGTGGTGGTGGAGGGATAAAGGGATGAGGTGGAGAGGAAAAAGAAGGATGTACCCTCAGCCCTCATGTGGCGTCTCCAACATGACTCTTTTTCCTCTGAGAAAGAAGAGAGAGACAGAGCAAATAAACACTGACCACCAGATTCCACCCAACTCCTTTACATCCCCGCCTGCACGGATTAAGGTTCGGGGAGGGATGCGGATGTGTGTGTGTGGGGGGGTATACAGACATAAACACAAGTGTAGTCTCACTTTTGAGGTGTGTGCATGTATGTGCACCTATATAAGAAAAGTCTTATTAAGGTTGGATGCTCGGCAGGTGGTGTGTGAGGGTCACTTCCTTACTTTGTACAGTCCATCCCCTCTCCTTCAAACACTCAGATCATTGTGTGTGAGCCCCCCCCCCCACCTACCATCACCCCTTCATTAGCTAGTATTTTTTTTTTTGGTGGCCCCGGCGTGTTTACGTTTCTTATCGGCTGCAGGAAGCTTATGGGAAGCTCTACGGCCTTCCACAATAACTCCTCTGACATGGACGTAGTCAACTTAAAAAAAGCAACAACGCCCGGAATACGACATCACAGATAACTCTTCTGTTTTTTAAAGTTTAAATCTTTGGAAAATATTACACAGCAAAAAGCAAGAATATAACTTGCATGCTTCACTTTTTATCACTCACTTTAATACAAATAGCTTATAAGCACAATGGTTAAACGCCTGTCGGCATGTAAAATGCAAAAATCAACAATGGACAATAATTTGTCTGCAAGTGCAATAACGGAAACAAATTGAAAGGAGAATAAAAGGTAACCGATGAGGTGACGGGATGAAGGAAAGAGCACAGAACAGATTAGGTGGACAGAGGATAAGTGAGAGTAAGGAGGGAGGTGAGGAGAGAGAGAGGACAGAGCAGAGGAGGAACACATTGTGTTCTCGCTAACCTTTACGGAGAGGTGAGGTACTGCAGCCTCCTGCCAACAACATTCTCTTTGAGGTTG